ACATACACTGACCAATGGGAGAATGACCTCGGGGAGATTCTGGAGGGGGTCGAGTGGCAGGAGATATGGGAAGCAAACGCTAAGGTCTCCATTTGTGTTACCTTTCAGGAACAGGCATGGAAAACTATGTTTAGATGGTATACTACCCCAGTCAAACTACATAGAATGCACAAACGGGAGACTGATGACTGCTGGAGAGGATGTGGAGCCAGAGGGACGTACATACACATGTGGTGGGAATGCTCGAGGCTACTCGGTTTCTGGAGGTCGGTGGAGGACCTGTTGAGACAGACGTTTGATAGACCTCTGAAAATGGACCCGTGGATATACTTGTTAAATAGATCAATAGACGGATGGACCAAACGGGAACAGAAATTGGTACACAAAATCACTTTATGTGCGCGCCGAGCAATAGCGACAGCATGGCTTACACTAGAGGGCCCAGAATTCGCAGGGGTTATATCTAGAATCAAAGAATGTAGAGTAATGGATGATCTAACGGCGAGAGTGAGAGGGAACATCACGACATTTCAAAAAACCTGGGAACCTTGGGACAATAGTGTAGTTAGCTCGAGAGGAGACTGAGGGCCTCCCCCGTCCAAGTACGAATCAAAAGGTAAAACATCATCGCTAGCGGGGACTCCGGTGTCGGCAGGGTGGCTGTTTGCGCCTTCCCCCCGCCCCCCTCTGTTTTCTCCTCTACCTCACTGAACTCTTCTTACTATATATCTTTGTTTCATCTTCTCTTTCCTTTCCTTTTTCTCTGTTATTTTTTATTTATTTTTTTCCAGGCTAGATCATACGGTCGGAGGAATAATGTAGCAAAGGTATGACAATGATTAGCAAATCTAATGGTTACTTATAATACTTATCTGCCTATTCTTCTGTTATACATAAAACCTCCCCGTAGATGGCATGTGCCAAACATACAATAAGAACTGGGCTCGCAATGATAAAGTTGAACAATATTTTATTGCACTTATATGGAACAGAAGTTAATTGGCTTCTATATAAGCCCTGAAGCGATTAAATACCTGGTACGGTTACTGAAAAATAAAGATTTTAAGATATCTCAATAACCGGCGGGTGCCACTGATACAGTAAGAATCGAGATTTCAATAATAACGCTGACTCACATTATCTTGCAAGAAATTGTACTTTATTCAGCTTCTATATAAGCCCAAAAGTGAATGTATATAGGTTATGTTTATTTGAATATAAAGATTTTTATACAAAAATATAAAACCCTCAGTAGACGGCATGTGCCATTGGTTTTTAAGGAAGGGGCATATATTGTATTGTCCAAAATTATTGTCAAGTTGGCTTCTGCGTAAGCCCAAAAGTCGATGTAAACTTGCTAAGTCTGTTGAGAAAAAAAAATAAAGAATTAAAAAAAAAAAAAAGTCTTCAAACTTCACAGATCGCATGCTGTCAAGGCAACCTCTAAATATTGGACACCCCAGCTCCAATATTTCTGAAGACACTGAGGGCACTAGAATTACCCAGGACAAAAATAGTTTGTTTGTGTTTTAGGGAGGCCTCCCACAGCGTGCAGAATTAACATGCAAATCTAGGACAGATGATATGGTAGCCTCCTCACCTCTGGCAATATTCCTCATGACTCTAAATTTATCTCGTTATTTCCTACTGCAGAATCATATGGAGACGTAATTAAGAAAATAAAAAACAGGTTGGTTTTACTGCAGTGCATTTTTTACATCAAAGCCTGAAGAATTAAATATAGTGGAGGAAAATTGTGCAGAGGTGCAGGCATTCTGCTCGTTCACCTCTAAATTAACTCCTTCCTTGGCAGATGGATCAGAAATGAATAAGATTACAAAATAAAAGCTGTGTGTGAAATATGTGAAAGTCTGTCACGTGCAGTGTATCTCTCTGTGCTCAGAAACATGTGATGATATATGCACCCAGAGGATTGGCTTTATGTCACAAAGGGCAATATAATGCTTGATCCATGGTATAGTCCAAAGTCACTGTATAGATCCAAAGGTTCTTTATTGATAATAACAGCAGAGGAAAGATAGCAAGGTGATAACTACTCAAATGCCAAAGGAATACGCAATCTATGACAGTGAAACACAGTGTGTCTTAGTCATTTCATGGGTTAAAAAAGGACAAGTAATATACAATTTGGGGATTTCGTGAATGATGTGAACCTGAGACATTTCAAAATACTAACCCTTGAAATGATCATCATTTGACTCACCAGCACCATTTGCATACAGTCATTTGTCTTGGGTTTGGGCAACAGGATCCTGTTTTAAAATGGATACATTAATATTCCAGATAAACATTTAGCGTCGGCGACCACAGGAGGAGACACTTGCCCCCCAACGCCAAAAGATTTTGAACACACTGGATTATTTCAACCAGGGTGCTTATTCACAATATATCTGGCTCTGTGCTGTCATATATATATCTTCAAAGGTCCTGTTGGAGTTTAGTAAAAACAGGTACTGTTATATGACATTATGTCTTGATGCTCTGCTTCATCAAGATTCTCACCTAACTGCCAGAAAAGGTATGGCTAAGCCACCAAATGTATCTAATTTTCACGCAAATTCCAAAGGATGTCCAGGTCGACTGGTGGAGGACTTATCCTGGACATCACATAGGGGTGGCCCTTGAGATGTCGACTCACACAGGGATACCTCTAAAGTGAGAATCTCCGGCAATTCAAAGTGAATTCATAATTCAGTCCAAATGACAGAAATTCTCCAAGACAATACCATTTTCAATTTGGCTATATTGCCCTAAATTTGAAAATCACTTTGAATTCTCTTCGAATCCCTGGCAAGTCTGACTTTAATGAAAAACTTTGTCAATGTCTGTTGGGAAATAAAGTGTCTTACTTATATAATGCTTATTGAATGGTGGGTTTAGCACTATCGGGTCAGGAATACATGTTTGTATTTTAAACTTGCATTTTTTAAACCTACATTTTTTTTCTGTTCTTGTGCCTGACACCAGCTATCGCTATCTTTTATAAACATCCTGCACTTGCAAACATAGCATTTTTTCTACCACCTGCTATTTTTAATTGGGTTCCTAAATCTCATTCTGTCACGTGCATCAGTTAACAGGAGACTAACTAATAGCATTACGAAAAGTTATATGAAAAATAATACTTTCGGTTCTAAGACTTCGATGATTGGTTAATGTTGCCGTTGATGTATACATCCCTAGACAAACTGTGTTTTATATATACGATGTATGACGCATTAAAACCTTTGAATGTTTATTGATGCTACATCTGAGTGGTGTGACTTCATTGAGTATTCTCAACAGTTGATTACAGAGACAAAGGAAATCAGAAACGTGTTAGTGCATAAGTCCATGGCAGCGTAAGGTTTTCAAGACCCTGTGGTGATTTCCAGCCTAACAAGTAGGGGTTCCATCGGAGGGGGAGGATTGTGGTATCCAACGTTGAGTAGAAAGATATTGACCTCTTTCTGTCTTTCTTTGTCTACTCACGTGGTAGTCACAGTCTCCTGTCTTGAACCTGTCTTAGGCTGAGAGAGAGATCAGTCAGTTGGACAGAGTCTCTGAGTAAGAGGTTGAGAACAGGATCGGCCGTTTGCCTCTGAGGGTGGTAACGGGATCGGCCGCTTGCCTCTGAGGGTGGTAACGGGATCGGCCGCTTGCCTCTGAGGGTGGTAACGGGATCGGCCGCTTGCCTCTGAGGGTGGTAACGTGATCGGCCACTTGCCTGTGAAGTTGGTAACGGGATCGGCCGTTTGCCTCTGAGGTTGGTAACGGGATAGGCTGTTTGCCCCTGTACCAGATTCAATATAGACTTAGAAGTTCTTGAGATCTGGTTGTTGAGAAGTGGGAACGGGATAGACCGCCCATCTCAATGATTAGTTAGTGTTGTCGAGAAGTGGGAATGGGATAGACCGCCCATCTCGAAGTCTAGTTAGTAAGAGAGGCCCTTAGTGAATCTATATATTGATTTATTATCTGTTAATTGGTTGGTTAGTTTAGTTAGTAGGAGATTTATAAGTTTGGTACACTTTGTCCCCTGGAACCAGTTGAGAAGTTTCTACTACGTTATTGTGTATTTATCCATCTGGTTTTCACACTGTGTCTTATTAATATTAGAGTATACGTTTTTCACTTAATATTGAACATTTTACCGATTGGGGTCTGATGTCATTGTGCTACGAATATATGATTTGTATGTTTGTTATTAATAAACTCAATGAGCCCAATATTTTTCCTTTTTACGTTGGGACTAGGAATATACGTTTGCATTTAAAGAATTTGTAATATGAACGAGTGGTTACATTTTAAATGAGCCTGGTGCATTTTTATGAGACCAGGACTTTGCCTTAGATTAGAAAAACAGATTTAGGTATGGTCCATAAGTCCCAATATGTGGATAGAGTTATACACCAAACAGCACACAAGATAGTTAATGATCCTATTTCCCATGAAATGTATAAAGACCCTGCGGTTTCCATCCTAACAATGTCCAAGGCAGAAAGAATCCCCTATCAGAGCTGTCGGGGTTACAGTTGTAGACATCACAAGATTCTAATAAGATGTATCATAGATTGCTTAATTAAGCCACACTGTATTTGGGTACAAATTTAAACTAAAGTGTAATAGTGAGCATCCTTGCACAAGTATCTCCTAGCAGCATCCTTGCACAAGTATCTCCTAGCAGCATCCTGGCACGAGTACCTCCTAGCAGCATCCTGGCACGGGTACCTCATAGCAGCATCCTGGCACGGGTACCTCCTAGCAGCATCCTGGGATGAGTACCTCCTGGGACCTCCTAGCAGCATCCTGGGATGAGTACCTCCTGGGATGAGTACCTCCTAGCAGCATCCTGGGACGAGTACCTCCTAGCAGCATCCTGGGATCCTGGGACGAGTACCTCCTAGCAGCATCATGGGACAAGTACCTCCTAGCAGCATCCTGGCACTGGTATCTCCTAGCAGCATCCTGGCACGAGTACCTCCTAGCAGCATTCTGGGATGAGTACCTCCTGGGACCTTCTAGCAGCATCCTGGGATGAGTACCTCCTGGGACCTCCTAGCAGCATCCTGGGACGAGTACCTCCTAGCAGCATCCTGGGACGAGTACCTCTTAGCAGCATCCTGGGACGAGTATCTCTTAGCAGCATCCTGGGACGAGTATCTCTTAGCAGCATCCTGGGACGAGTACCTCCTAGCAGCATCCTGGGACGAGTACCTCCTAGCAGCATCCTGGGACGAGTACTTCTTAGCAGCATCATGGGACGTGTACCTCCTAGCAGCATCATGGCATCCTGGGACGAGTACCTCCTAGCAGCATCCTGGGATGAGTACCTCCTGGGACCTCCTAGCAGCATCCTGGGATGAGTACCCCCTGGGACCTCCTAGCAGCATCCTGGGATGAGTACCTCTTAGCAGCATCCTGGGACGAGTATCTCTTAGCAGCATCCTGGCACGAGTACCTCCTAGCAGCATCCTGGGACGAGTACTTCCTAGCAGCATCCTGGGACGAGTACCTCTTAGCAGCATCCAGGGACGTGTACCTCTTAGCAGCATCCTGGCACGAGTACCTCCTAGCAGCATCCTGGGACGAGTACGTCTTAGCAGCATCATGGGACGTGTACCTCCTAGCAGCATCATGGGATCCTGGGACGAGTACCTCCTAGCAGCATCCTGGGACGAGTACCTCTTAGCAGCATCCTGGCACGAGTATCTCCTAGCAGCATCCTGGCACAAGTATCTCCTAGCAGCATCCTGGCACGAGTACCTCCTAGCAGCATCCTGGCACGAGTACCTCCTAGCAGCATCCTGGGACGAGTACTTCTTAGCAGCATCCTGGGATGAGTATCTCCTAGCAGCATCCTGGGATGAGTATCTCCTAGCAGCATCCTGGGATGAGTACCTCCTAGCAGCATCCTGGGACGAGTACCTCCTAGCAGCATCCTGGGACGAGTACCTCCTAGCAGCATCCTGGGACGAGTACCTCCTAGCAGCATCCTGGGACGAGTACCTCCTCTCGGTATCAGAGGTGGCTTTGCCAGGAAGCAATATTTAAAACAAACTCCGGTCCGGGTATGTATGATGGAGGGGGAGCAAACACGAGGTGAGGAGATGAGTGGACAAAGAAAGGCATCTGGTCAATATTAAATGGCTTTATTGATCCCTGGCTGCCATTAGACAAAAAAGCAAAGACTGATGAGCTCCCGAACAGATCAATCTAAGAGACGGACAGGGAAATCCGGGAGAGGGCAGTGTGTAGGAGCACAGACATTGGCAAAACCCTTAATCACTTCACCCAGGGAGCTGAATTTGATCTATATTTACTGTGCTCCCATAATGCACTGCAACAGAGAGAGATATGGATTTAGAACAAACATTTGTTTTTGTTTGGCTTGAAATGTTAGATTTTCTGCATTATGTCTCAAAACAATCCCCAGGGTCCTATAATAATCGAGTAACTACTAAAAGGGGGTCGGGGATTACTAATAGGTAGCAGTCCAGCAGCGGTAAGACAACAACCCCATGATGCTTTGCCAGTCCATACATTGGCTAGCCTACATTGACTACATTGACATTGACAGCCATGATGTGTGATTTCTTTTTTTAATCATTCCTAAATTACTAAGGGTTTTATTCACTAATTAGCCCCCCCCCCCCCTTTAGCAGCCTGGTTTCCCAGCTGTTGATTCCTCGCCTTAGTGTGCACAAAACAATTGTAGTGCAAAGGGACTGAATCTAGAGAAATTAAGCAAATCAGTCAAATAGTCACTAACAATATATAAACACCACGCCGGTATTGAAAGGGTTAATTATACGTACACTCCCAGGATCACAGGACATACACTGCACTAATTCCTGTGCACAAATCAGGCAATTTAATTGTAACTTGGCCTGATCAGCTAAAGAGTGCCACCTGCTGGGCACCAGGCATAATTACATGCCAATAACAATGCAATAACATACAAAGAGATTTAAACAACAATTTGCAACATTTGTTTCACTTCTGTAATTCATCAAATTTGCTTTTAATTATTTGAAATTCCAGCTACTTGTTAAAAGGACACTATAGTCACCCAGACCACTTCAGCTCAATGAAGTGGTCTGGGTGGCAGGTCCCTCAGGTTTTAACCCTTCAGATGTAAACATAGCAGTTTCAGAGAAAGCAGGGTTAATCCAACCTCTAGTGGCTGTCTTCCTGACAGCCGCTTGAGGCGCTTCTGAGAAATGCTTTCCTATGGACTGTTTGAATGCGCGAGCGCCTCTTGCCGTGCATGAGCATTCCGTTCCACTCGGGAGCGGACGTCGGCGGGGGAGGAGAGGTCACCCGCACGGAGGGAGCCCGGCGCTGGATTAAGGTAAGTGGCTGAAGGGATTTTAACCCCTTCAGCGCCAAGGGCGGGGGACCCTGAGGGTGGGTCCTAAGGATGATATAGTGTCAGGAAAATGAGTTTGTTTTCCTGACACTGTAGTGGTCCTTTAAAGAGAAACTCTAAATACCCGAACCACTAGAAATGATTGCATCTTTACAGTTTATTATATCATTACCTCTAATTGTTTTATTACAGCTCATTGTATTTGTAACGGATCGACGGGCACCCCGACTGGGTACCTCCGTTGAAGGATGCTCCTAGCGCTTCCTGAGGACACCAAGCACTGCAGCAGACACCATAACCCCCGTAGACTCCTCCAGAGAGCAAGGCAGGAACAAGCTCTTACAAGAGCTTAGTAGTGATTTAGCAAGGGAGTATGACAAGCATAGCAATCCCTTGTAGCAGATTCCCCAATAAGAGATGGCACTCCAAATTGAGGGTGAAGTAGAACTGATTTACTGGGGCTACCTGCCCGGCTTTTATGCAGGTCTCCCACCTGGTGGACACTCCCCTAGGGGACCAGATGGGAAACATATTGGACATTGACCAATCACAAGCTTACAATCCCACAATGCATCACAATCCCTCCTCTCTGTCCTGGAGATAATTGGGAAGTAATCCAATTATCTCCAAGGACAGAGGCAAAACTCCATTAACCACGTGGCAGACAAAGGACAATAAAAGACATAAAATTACATACTGTTACATTTATCACATAGAACATACACATTCTACCTGTCCCCAGATAGCTTAGATCTGAGCGCCCATTACTACTGGATGGCGCTCAGATCACATACATACAGTTCAATCGCCATGGAGCCAAAATCTTTCATACAGTCTTTCAGTATACGGCTGGGCTCCATGGCATAGCTATCTGAGGTAGCATGGTTTAAACAGTAAAGTACCGAATGGACCGGTGTTCGGATAATTGACTGAAGTAAGAGAAGGGAGGTCAGCGGCTCAGCGGTGTTCGTGACTTTAACAGTCCGTAGAAAGGCACGAACCAGCCTTTCTGCAGGGAAAAAGAACAGTGTTAAACATGGGGCCATAGTCTAAAGGGAGCAGGCGAGCAACCAGGCTCCTCCAGTGGCCACATACAGCTCATTGTATTGTTACAGCTTATTGTATCATTACAGCTAATTGTATCATTACAGCTTATTGTATCATTACAGCGCATTGTATCATTATCGCTTATTGTATCATTACAACTTATTGTATCATTACAGCACACTGTATCATTACAGCTTATTGTATCATTACAGCTTACTGTATCTTACAGCTTATTGTATCATTACAGCTAATTGCATCATTATAGCTTATTGTATCATTACAGCTTATTGTATCATTACAGCTCATTATATAATTACAGCTCATTGTATCATTACTGCTTTTAGATCAGTTTTAGTTCAAATATTCCAAGGCAAGAGAGAATAATAATAATTTGTTCCTCTTTCTGACTGGCAATGATGGAGGAAAGAATTAAAAACTAAAGTTGCCAACATACTGACAATATGTACCCACTGTAAGGGAATTGCTGGGTCTGTCCAGGAATCATTCAACGCAATTCACTAAAGTGAGAATTCTAGTGAATTCAAAGAGAATTTCAAATGTAAAGGAAAAACATGTATTCCTGAGACAACAGACTATTGTCTCAGGAATACATGTTTTTGAAGTGGCTGTTTGGTCCATTCATTCTGATTTCACTCATCTTTTCTCCCACGCCGCACCTGCCTTGCAGCGGCTGGCTCCACATTGCTCCGCCTCCATGGCTGAGATCATCAGTCTTGAAGATCTCAGCTAATCCAATGTTTTTCCATATCAAAGCGTTGGGAGAGTGCTGCACCAATCAGCATCTCCTCAGAGAGATATATGGAATCAATGCATCCCTACGGGCAGTGTTCATTCCCTCTATTCAGAGCGTGGAGACACTGAACGCCACACACTGTACCGCACTGACCCAGGAAGTACCTCTAGTGGCCGTCTGAGTGACTGCCACTGGAGTTGTTACTAGGCAGCAATGTAAACACTGCATTTTCTCTGAAGGGACAGACACTATAGACACCAGAACCACTACATTAGGCTCTAGTGGTTCTGGTGTCTATAGTGTCCCTTTAAGTCCAAAGTAACTGAACTGAAGTGATAGCTGAATATTTAGAATTAGTACATTTGCATAAGAGCAAAATCAGTTTAACAACCACTCCAGTGTAAACCCAATCAATCAATCAATCAGCCAATCAATCTATTTGTAGGTACTGGGGATCTTTTAAAGGACTAATCAATCAGGAGCTTGCATTTCGGGCACAAGACCTCTTTCCATTACTTTCTTCCAAGATACATGTTGATGCCAGAAGCACCAAAATCATGGCTTTATCTATACAGAATGACTGGGAGGCTCACACAAACTGCTAGTAGGGGTACAGTTAGTTTTACAAGAGATGTAAGCCACTATAAGATTTAATAAGAAATCGCACTGAACCAGAATGACCGCCTACTCTACAGTCTGCTTTAAAAGAGATGGTTTTAAAAAAAAACTAAGTATCCAACACGGATCGTTGGGGGTGGCAGTCGGTTAGTAAATATTCTCACATAACATAAAGCCAACTGTGTCCTTCATAGCTGATGTCCACCCCTCCTGTACTAAAGAATTGTCACCGAATTATCAAATTTTGTCAATATTGATATATATTAATAATACGTGAAACAAGTGCACACAACACTGCACAAATCTTGTTCTTTCTTCAAAATGTTGTAATTTATGTGAAAAATTACGAATTTAGACGATTTCACATTTTTGCCAACAGTGTTAGCCAAGTTCTTCTTTAGAACAACAATTAAACTTGGTGACCAAAGTACAACTGATTGGAAAGGTTTTTCAACATTTTATCTGATCCATGATTGATAAAACTATTTCAGTTTTATGAGTCCTCCTATTAAGAGATATAAATTTCCATCGATACTCAGATGGCATCAAGATATAGCTGGCATTACTAAAACAGAACAACAAGACTTCATGCCTGGAAGAAAGGTCCGGTCTGACTACTCACCTTGTCCAAATCAAGACAGATATAATAGGGTGGCTGTAACTACAGGGTGGCTCATTATTATTATTATTATTATGTTATTATTTATATAGCACCAACAAATTCCAAAGCACTTTACAGTGGGTGGATGAACAACATGTAGTTGTAACCAGACAAGTTGGACAGGAACAGGAACAGAGGAGTTGAGGGCCCTGCTCAATGAGTTTAGATGCTAGAGGGAGTGGGGTAAAATGACACAAAAGGTAAGGATAGTATTAGACTAGTGACAGTTGCAAGAGAGGAATCAGTCGGGAGCTATTAACAGTTTAATTGATACGCTTTTATGAAGAAGTGGGTTTTTAATTTTTGTTTTTGAAGGAGTGGAGACTGGGTGAGCATCTAACGGAGGAGGGAAGTGAGTTCCACAGGAACGGTGCAGCCCTTGAGAAATCTTGAAGGCGACTCGGTCAGACTGACGTAATCCAGAATAAAAACACTATGTGAAAGGCAGATGATGTTTGGAGATGATATCAGTCTCAGAGCGGTGCAGACTGTTCCCTTTGAACAAGGCCAAGGACAGGCTAGATAAGTACATGTGAGCTGATATCATATCACAAACAGATAGAACGCTGCACACGAACCTAATCTCTTCTTGCCTTAAAATGCCTTTGAGGCTCGAGCTATTAAGTTCATCTTATTATTGTTACCACAGAAACAGTAAACTTTCACCCTTTACGAGACCCTAAAGTGAAAATCTGCGTAGGAATGTGCACTGTGGGTCGGAGCTGAGATGATGGTTTATGTTGAGGTAATGAGTTGACTTTCTATTTTGTCTGTTTTAAAAATGGAAGACGGACCTTTACATGGAAGGTTATGGCCAGTTCTTTGTGGACATTATCAGTGTATGTTATACCTTTCGTGGTGAACTGCGTCAGGGACAGCCGCCGATAACACTCAACTGCATGGACCAGCCACTACTTACCCTGGCTTCTATTATGGCATTGCCCTTTGGATTTTGACAACAGGATATATTTTCCTTTAATTGAGTCCCCTGGCCGCCTTCACCCCTCCACAATTCACTCCAATTCCCTGCGCTCCACACTAGACAAATATAACTTCACCATTCTTTGATAAATATATCAAATGCCGGTGAAAATACTGGGATGGCAATCCAATCAACTGAAACTTACATTTCGCTTTATTTTGGCTACTAAACTGTATAGAGTCCCAAACTAGCATTGACCCTGCCGTGAACCCTACAGGTTCTAAGCAAGTTGGTTAAATAACCAGGACATTAAGCAAATTGATGGATAATATATTTACTAAATAAAGAGTGTATTATGTCTGTTGTTTTAACCGAGTGCCCTGTTTCAAGCCATTTTTATGAATGGGGAGACACCGATTGGCTTAGACCATCATCTGACAGCTCTATGCCAACCAATGGCGCCCCAGCCTAATGCTGCCCAGACTTCCATTCTGAAGATTTGTAAAAAAAAAAGCGGAAGGACGGGGGGCAGAGCAATCAGGCTAACTTTGGGGTTAAGCTGTTTTTGAACAGTTTCCCCCCTAATGGTAAGCCAGCGCCAGTGTCCACCCAGCACCATAACAACTGAATTTTGTTGAAGTTGTTATGGTGCCTGGAGCGTTCCATTCAGTAGCTGTATGGATACATTTGAGAATAACCTCTGGTTATTTTTTTCTCTGGATTTGGAATGCCCGGAATTATTTTATCTCTAGACTAGAGAATAAATTCCTTAACCTATCTTATTTTTTTCCATAACCAACTCATTATATATTTTTTTCAATCATTTTCTATCAGTTGCTTTTTTTTAAATTCGAAAGCGCTCCGATTCTTTATTTATCCCGTCCGTGCCATTTGTGGTATCTATTGGAGTGAGTGTATAGCTGCTATCAGTTTCTGCACATTGTGTTGGACCGGCCTTTTGATACTTTTATAAGCACTTCATTCACAATCCTTCTTCTTTTACCTTGGTAAAAACAGTCTCTTAACATTTCACAGCGTCTCTGCTCCATCCTGTAAACACGCAGAAATAGGACTGTCTATATACTTCACGTCCCTGATTAAACACAATGGGTTTTATTCTTTAAACGGTATTTGAGGAGAGTTTATGATTGTTTCCTATCAGAGAATATACCGCAATAGGTCACATGTATCAAAAATCATAAACTGAGAGTTTGGAGAGAGTTTCAATTCCTGAGAGAGACATGTGTACATTCTATGGAACATGTCGCCCAAAGAGATTATCTTTAACCCTCCCACTGATGGGCCCACTGCACTTTTTGGCTGCCATAACGGAGGATCTCATATGAAACGGTTTCTTTCTCTTTATTACAGTTACCAGACCATGTTTTCATTTAGGGCAACTTATTGTCCAACATATTTCAATAGACATATAGGGACACTTTCATTTTAGAGGGTGACCTTGGTGGGGCTGTTCTGATTAATTTTAGGTGACTTACTTATAACAATGTCTAGAATTAAATGTAATTTATAACAAGAACAACGTTTCTTATTTACACAGAATGATTTCTAAACACATTTTTCTAGTTTAAAGACACATTACTGGGAGTATTATTGCAGTAGAGCTCTGTTATACACTCAGACACATTACTGGGAGTATTATTGCTGTGGAGCTCTGTTATACACTCAGACACATTACTGGGAGTATTATTGCTGTGGGGCTCTGTTATACACTCAGACACATTACTGGGAGTATTATTGCTGTGGAGCTCTGTTATACACTCAGACACAGTACTGGGAGTATTATTGCTGTGGAGCTCTGTTATTCACTCAGACACATTACTGGGAGTATTATTGCTGTGGGGCTCTGTTATACACTCAGACACATTACTGGGAGTATTATTGCTGTGGAGCTCTGTTATACACACAGACACATTACTGGGAGTATTATTGCTGTGGAGTTCTGTTATACACTCAGACACATTACTGGGAGTATTATTACTGTGGGGCTCTGTTATACACTCAGACACATTACTGGGAGTATTATTGCTGTGGAGCTCTGTTATACACTCAGACACATTACTGGGAGTAGTATTGCTGTGGAGCTCTGTTATACACTCAGACACATTACTGGGAGTATTATTGCTGGGGAGCTCTGTTATACACACAGACACATTACTGGGAGTATTATTGCTGTGGAGCTCTGTTATACACTCAGACACATTACTGGGAGTATTATTGCTGTGGAGCTCTGTTATACACTCAGACGCATTACTGGGGGTATTATTGCTGTGGAGCTCTGTTATACACTCAGACACATTACTGGGAGTATTATTGCTGTGGAGCTCTGTTATACACTCAGACACATTACTGGGGGTATTATTGCTGTGGAGCTCTGTTATACACTCAGACACATTACTGGGGGTATTATTGCTGTGGAGCTCTGTTATACACTCAGACACATTACTGGAAGTATTATTGCTGTGGAGCTCTGTTATACACTCAGACACATTACTGGGAGTATTATTGCTGTGGAGCTCTGTTATACACTCAGACACATTACTGGGAGTATTATTGCTGTGGAGCTCTGTTATACACTCAGACACATTACGGGGAGTATTATTGCTGTGGAGCTCTGTTATACACTCAGACACATTACTGGGAGTATTATTGCTGTGGAGCTCTGTTATACACTCAGACCCATTACTGGCAGTATTATTGCTGTGGAGCTCTGTTGTACACTCAGGCACATTACTGGGAGTATTATTGCTGTGGAGCTCTGTTATACACTCAGACACATTACTGGGAGTATTATTGCTGTGGAGCTCTGTTATACACACAGACACATTACTGGGAGTATTATTGCTGTGGAGCTCTGTTATACACTCAGACACATTACTGGGAGTATTATTGCTGTGGAGCTCTGTTATACACTCAGACACATTACTGGGAGTATTATTGCTGTGGAGCTCTGTTATACACTTAGACACATTACTGGGAGTATTATTGCTGTGGAGCTCTGTTATACACTCAGACACATTACTGGGAGTATTATTGCTGTGGGCTCTGTTATACACTCAGACACATTACTGGGAGTATTATTACTGTGGGGCTCTGTTATACACTCAGACACATTACTGGGAGTATTATTGCTGTGGAGCTCTGTTATACACTCAGACACATTACTGGGAGTATTATTGCTGTGGAGCTCTGTTATACACTCAGACACATTACTGGGAGTATTATTGCTTTGGAGCTCTGTTATACACTCAGACACATTACTGGGAGTATTATTGCTGTGGAGCTCTGTTATACACTCAGACACATTACTGGGAGTATTATTGCTGTGGAGCTCTGTTATACACTCAGACACATTACTGGGAGTATTATTGCTGTGGGGCTCTGTTATACACTCAGGCACATTACTGGGAGTATTATTACTGTGGAGCTCTGTTATACACTCAGACACATTACTGTGAGTATTATTGCTGTGGAGCTCTGTTATACACTCAGACACACCAATGATATGGAGCTCCTGCAAAAGAGGAACATTAGGATAGAAAAGACAGACAATGGAATCTGGGTCCAAATAGGGACTGTCCCTAATAAATAGGGACACTTGGGAGGTATGGGGAAGTCTATAGAAAGTTCTAAAGCACTGAATTATGGTTTTTTTAACATATATTCCTAAATCATTTGTGATCTGACATTCCTAACCTTTACAGATTAGAGGCTATTGCACTTTATAAGATGATCCAAAATGAAGTTTTGAAAAACACTTTTCTCCTGGACAGTACCATGATAGCGGGCCGAAGACGGAGCTGATGCCAGCTCATTATTGGAATAATGATTTTCTTTCTGTATTGTAAAGATTTTTCTGGATAAGATATCAGGGTAAACTTTGTCCCCGGATATTCTGTGTTTATGAACTCTATAATCTAGCTCTTAGTCCTCACTCTCTCCCAGCGGCAATGAAGATATTAGCTCTGTGTGTGATCCTTTCCACCATCCTTACTCCGGGGTACCCCATTCCGGTTAAGGGACGGGGAAAAGCCATTAATAAGCTCCTGCTTATCTCGTTCGATGGCTTCCGCTGGAATTACGATCATGACGTTGATACTCCTAATCTCGACAATATGGCCAATGACGGGGTCAGAGCAGAATATCTCACGCCGGCCTTCATCACAATTACCAGCCCCTGCCACTTCACACTGCTCACCGGTGAGTAAAGGACCAGGTTAATCGTAGCAAAAAGCCACCAATGATCAAACATCAGTGATAGCAAAGAGGACCACACCGCGGAACGGTAGGAGGTAGGATTTATGGAAATGTGTAGAAGGAACGCATAGATGTATGTATGAATGAATGGAATCTTTAACCCCTTAAGGACACATGACATGTGTGACATGTGATGATTCCCTTTTATTCCAGAAGTTTGGTCCTTAAGGGGTTAATAATCTACCGCTCAGCAGAGGTGGTAAAGCAAAGTGTCTGAAATCAAGTCCTAAAAAGCCATGGACAACTTGAATTTTCAGTGAGACACTTGTGATATTGGTCAATGATAATCATGTCTTGTACACAGTCTGGCAACATCCTATTCATTCAATTTATATATTTGTTGGCTAAAGTAAAAATATCTAATAACACCATCTCTTCTAACTAATGAGTTTATTCCCAAAAGGACCTAAACAATAAATTTTTTAGGAGGAGGTCCTGCCACATGGGTGTTACTTTCATTGATTCAGATTCTTTGGGGTTTATTTATTAAGCCAGGGATCACGTAGAAATGACAAGATTATTGCACATTTTATATCAATATGTTAGAAAATAATCCATATGTTGCTTTAAAATGTGCCTTGTCATTTCAAAGTGATCCCTGGAGAGACCATTATATATATCGTATGTAATGAATTTAAAAAAATAAAATAAATATAAATATATATATTTTTATTCTTCCTAGAGTCACGATCTGGATCATTTATGAATTTTAATTTGAGTCCAATGACAGGACCCCATCCAAACCTACTCTTTGTTTAGCTGTATATTTGAGCTCCCATTGAAGTTAAAGGGACACTCTAGGCACTGACACTGCATCATCTAATTGAAGTGGTTATAGTGTCTGAAGTCCCCTGGTGAGGTCCTTTTATTCAGTGTCAAACTGCTTTAAATGTTTTAATGTTAAACAAAAGTCCCAGCAGTCCATCCACTCTGTACTACTTTGGCTAATGAGGAAGTATTAACCTAACCTGAGCAGCAATGGGCAGCTGTGAGTGTCAGCTGTATTATACATTGTCCATTGGAGGTATGAATTGGTATGGCTAGAAGGAAGTGTGTAAACTGTGCCTTGGCCACACCTCCAGTGGGGGTCAGGCAGGGCCGTTTGAAGGAATTTGGGGGCCCCAAGCAAAATAGACATGGAGGCCCCCCCAATATGACGTCATATTCCGGCTCCCAGCATTAGTGTAAACCCATACCCCAATACTCTACAGCTGTGCTCCTAAGCAGGAGCTTCCCTTAGTTCTCTTACACTAAGCTCTGCAATGGCTGTGATGTATAAAAAGAAGTGGAGGCAATGCACAGCAGTAGTTATGGTGTTTGGAGTGTTCCCTTAAATAATAACGCTTAAAATCTAAGCTTTAAAAATATTTTATTCTTAGATAAAAAGGTAGATAACGTATTACATCAGAAATAAATGGATAGCTGAAAAAGGTCCTATGGCTTCGATTGTGGATTGTGCGCTGAGCCTACAAGCCACAAGTAGGACATTTATTTCAACCACGTGGAAATAAATGAAGGTAAAAACACATAGAAGTAAGTGCATCCCTGTATATCCTTTTCTGATTCCTGATCCACTACTTCTGATTCACACTGAGAAAATAATTTGCAGCTCTGTGGTGAAGGACTGGGTGATAACGTATTTATGTGATAATATGGAAAGAAGCAGTGGGAGGGGGGTTTTAAGGGAAGTTACACCCAAACAGCCAAAAAACTCTACAGATGAAACAATCAGAAATGTATGAAATCTTTGCTGTATAATACGGTGCCGATCAGTCATTTAAAACCAGCTCCATTACTAGAAAACAGAGACAGATCCACGTGACCAGGTTTTCGTGGAACCCTTGTAAATCCTTTATCCTGTCGGGCAGGGATTGAAGGTGCTGCCCAAATGTATGCAGTATTCATGTGCTGATGGTATGAAATCAGTGAAACAATGTAGAATTCTTCTGGAATGCTGTCTGTAACTAATTATTTAATTCCACCTGTGAGCCTTTGAATTCCACACAATGCTGGGCAGCACTTTCACTCCCTGCCCAACAGAACGAGTTAATTACTAAAGTGAGATATTAAAGTGAACTCAGAGAGAATTTCCAATTTAAGGCCAAGATAGCCAAACTGGAAGAATTCTCTACGTCAGTTATTTTCGGCTACTCTGGCCTTAAATTTGAAATTCATTTTGAATTCACTTTGAATTCCCAACAGTTGTCATTGTATTACATAACTCTGTAAATAAACGTACAGGGTTATTTACAAAGGTGAAAATTTTCTGCAAATCAAAGTGGATTCCAAATTTAAAGGAATACTATAGGGTCAGGAACACAAACATGTATTCCTGACCCTATAGTGTTAAAACCACCACCTAGCCCCCTCTTGCTCACCTAAATATAACAACTTACTTGTATTAAAGTCTGCTACTGCTGGCTCTGCCCCTGATCTGCCTGCTTGGCTGACATAATCAGAAATGATTCTCTGAGCCAATCAAAATGCTTTCCCATTTGATTGGCTGAGCCTGTCAGTGACAGAGCCAGCACAAGTCAGTCACAGTCCTGGCCAATCAGCACCTCCTCATAGAGATGTATTGAATCTATGAAGCTCTATGAGGAAGGTTCAGTGTCTGCATACTGAGGGTGGAGACACTGAATGGCAGTCACACTGTGCAACACTGCCCAAGGAAGCACCTCTAGTAGCCTTTTGAGGAGTGCCCAGTGCAGATAACCCACTCCTTTAAGAATTGCTATCATCTACCCCCACCCCTCAACTCCCCGTTCAACTACCGCCCTATCTCGCTACTGCCTTTTGTGTCCAAGATCTTTGAAAGAGTTGTGTATGCGAGATTGACAGACTTCCGTTGAGTCCAATTCTCTGCTCGACCCACTTCAGTCTGGTTCCCCCACTCAGCACTCTGTGGAAACGGCACTGACCAAAGTATCAAACGATCTACTCGCTGCGAAATCTCGTGGTCACTACTCTATCCTAATTCTCCTTGACCTGTCTGAGACTTTTGACACTGTTGATCATAAACAGCTTCTTCTCATTCTCCGCAATACCGGTCTACAAGATATTGCTCCCTCCTGGTGCTCCTCCTACCTCTCCCAGCGCTCTTTCAGTGTTTCTTTCTCTGGCTCTGCTTCTTCTCCCCAACTCCTCTCTGTTGGTGTCCCCCAAGGTTCAGTCCTTGGTCCCCTACTGTTCTCCATCTATACTGCCTCTCTTGGTAAACTCATTAGCTCCTTTGGCTTCCAATATAATTTCTATGCAGATGACACACAAATCTACCTGTCCTCTCCTGATCTCTCCCCATCCCTCTTGACTCGTGTCTCTGACTGCCTCTCTGCTATTTCTAACTGGATGGCTGCCCACTTCCTTAAGCGCAACTTGTCCAAAACAGAACTTCTGGTCTTTCCTCCCTCAATTGTTGCTACCCCCGTCTCTGTCTCCTTCCAAGTCAACGGTGCTACCATCAGCTCCACCACGCAGGCTCGCTGCCTAGGTGTTCTCTTTGACTCCGACCTCTCCTTCACCCCTCATGTCCAATCGTTAGCCAAATCCTGCCGCTTCCCTTTTCCGTTAGACACTCACCTAGTCTCCACTCCAAAAAATTATTAAAAACTCACTTTTTCACTGAGCAGGGCCCTCAATCCCTCTGTTACTGTCACTATACCCCACTCCCTCTAACATGTAAACTCACTGAGCAGGCCCTCAATCCCTCTGTTACTGTGTCACTATACCCCACTCCCTCTAACATGTAAACTCACTGAGCAGGGCCTCAATCCCTCTGTTACTGTGTCACTATACCCCACTCCCTCTAACATGTAAACTCACTGAGCAGGGCCTCAATCCCTCTGTTACTGTGTCACTATACCCCACTCCCTCTAACATGTAAACTCACTGAGCAGGGCCCTCAATCCCTCTGTTACTGTCACTATACCCCACTCCCTCTAACATGTAAACTCACTGAGCAGGGGCCTCAATCCCTCTGTTACTGTGTCACTATACCCCACTCCCTCTAACATGTAAACTCACTGAGCAGGGGCCCTCAATCCCTCTGTTACTGTGTCACTATACCCCACTCCCTCTAACATGTAAACTCACTGAGCAGGGCCCTCAATCCCTCTGTTACTGTGTCACTATACCCCACTCCCTCTAACATGTAAACTCACTGAGCAGGGCCCCAATCCCTCTGTTACTGTGTCACTATACCCCACTCCCTCTAACATGTAAACTCACTGAGCAGGGCCCTCAATCCCTCTGTTACTGTCACTATACCCCACTCCCTCTAACATGTAAACTCACTGAGCAGGCCCTCAATCCTCTGTTACTGTGTCACTATACCCCACTCCCTCTAACATGTAAACTCACTGAGCAGGCCCTCAATCCCTCTGTTACTGTGTCATTTTACCCCACTCCCTCTAACATGTAAACTCACTGAGCAGACCCTCAATCCCCCTGTTACTGTGTCACTATACCCCACTCCCTCTAACATGTAAGCTCATTGAGCAGGGCCCTCAATCCCTCTGTTCCTGTGTGTCCAACTTGTCTGGTTATAACTACATGTCTGTTCGTCCACCCATTGTAAAGCGCTGCGGAATTTGTTGGCGCTATATAAATAATAACATAATAATAATAACACTAATAATAATAATAGGCTGGAAAAACGGTGTTTACTGCAAAAACCCTGAAGGGAATGATTCTACTCACCAGAACAAATAGAATAGGCTGTAGATATTTTGGTGACTGTAGACTCCCTTTAAGGTCAGAATAGCTTGTTTGATGCATTTTCCAATTTTCCAATTTGCCTTTGCTTCCAGTTTGGCTATTGTGGTTTAAAATTTGAAATTCACTTTGGATTTCTGACAATACTTACTTTAGTAAATAGCCCTCATAGTAATATGACATTGTAAACACAAACAAATACACAGATGAAAGTTTTCAAATAATGGCTTTTGTTTGGGCCTAGTGACACTTATAACACAGGCAGTGGGCTCTGAAAAGTTGGTGTGAGATGCCATGCAGCGATTACCATTCTGCCTTCTTTTATATAGAAAGAATAAGACATAAGAGAGTGCCAGAAAAGTCCTCATCCAAACCCATGGCGTGTGAGTGTTGTTTTTTTGTGTGAGGTGGCTGAGTGTTGTATGTGTGTGAGAGAAATTGAGTGTAGTATGCAGTTGCTGATTGTTGTGTATGGAAGAAGGTGAGAGCTGTATGTGGGGGCAAGGTGCGCTGTGTGTGCAGTTTAAAATATCCACCTCGCTTAAAGGGATCTTATAGTGCCAGGAAAACAAACCCGTTTTCCTGGCATTACAGGTAGTGATGTCCCGAATGGTTCGCCAGCGAATAGTTCCTGGCGAACATCGCTTGTTCGCCACGGACGGCGAACATATGCGCTGTTCGGTCCGCCCCCTATACGTCATCATTGAGTAAACTTTGACCCTGTACCTCACAGTCAGCAGACACATTCCAGCCAATCAGCAGCAGACCCTCCCTCCCAGACCCACCCACCTCCTGGACAGCTCACTAAGAATGCAGCTTCACAATGAATGTAAAATGGATGCTGTCCAGGAGGTGGGAGGGTCTGCTGCTAATTGGCTGGAATGTGTCTGCTGACTGTGAGGTACAGGGTCAAAGTTTACTCAATGATGACATAGGGGGCGGACTGAACAGCGCATATGTTCGCCATCCGTGGCGAACCGTTCGGCGAACCGTTCGGGACATCACTAATTACAGGCTCTTGGAGTGCCCCCTTCCGTTGGGGCCCCTCTCCCTCGGTGCGGAAAGGGTTAAAGCCCCTTCAGCCATTTACCTTAATCCAGCGCCAGGCTCCCTCGGCGTTGGTGACCTCTCCTCCCCCGCCGACATCAGCTCCCAAATGGAGCCGAATGCGCATGGGTGGCCAGAGGCGCGTGCACATTCAAACCTGCCCATAGGAAAGCATTACTCAATGCTTTTCTATGGGGATCGTTTTGGACGCTGGAGGTCCGTGAGGATGTCCAGCATCAAATAAGTACGATTTACTCGGTGTAAATCGCGGAAGAGGCCTCTAGTGGCTGTCAGGGAGACAGCCACTAGAGGCTAGATTAACCCTGCAGTGTAAACATGTTTTCAGTTGCAGGGTTAAAACTAGAGGGACCTGGCACCCAGACCACTTCATTGTGCTGAAGTGGTCTGGGTGTCTATAGTGGTCCTTTAACAAAGGTCACCATGTAAAATTCTACCTTACTTGAAATTCTAGATCTTGTAGAAAGCTCTGAAAGATAAATAAATACAATTTGGACTTGTGCACAGCATAAAAAACATTTTCAGTTGAACCACTTCGTCCGTAAAAAAAAAAAAATTGAAGTAAGACAAAGTAATCAATAAAGGAAAAACGAAGAGGATCAGCCATGTCTATTCCTCTCTTCTCATTCGATCTGTGAATAAAATCATTTAGTGGCTGTCCTGTAGCCAGGAACAATTGTAACTACAGGGAAGAACCCGCTATCCTGACATTGGGCTGTTAAAGGTTTTCTCTAATGGTTGTAATTATTCCATTTCAGTTCAATATGGAGATATTTTGTTGGAAGGTATTGTAACAGCTTCCCCTACATCCAGCAAATCTCCTTACTCTGTCTCGCTTGTATTTTGCAGGAAGATACATAGAGAACCATGGTGTTATCCATAATATGTACTTTAACACCACCAGCGGAGAGAAGAAGACCTATCTCCCTACGCAGGGCATCTCCATGTGGTGGGACAACGGGAGTCTTCCAATCTGGATCACCGCCCAAAGACAGGTATGGCAAACCTTTCCGATAAATGATGTCAAGAGGGTGCAGGGGTGAAGGACTTCACACAAAGATATATCTATTATTACCCTGTAAGTAAGTTATCCAGTCCCCGCCGAAAAATTGGTCAGCCATCTAAACATCAGGAGAAGACACAAAAACCTTTCCTAAATTTAAATTGCTATGCTAAAAAATAAAAAAAATAAAAGGAGAAATATACAAGTAAACATGCTTAGTTTTATCCTTTGTCTCATAAAGTGAACTATTTGTCCCACTTAATATTTTTGCTTAAAGCCCTTTAGCATCAATACATGCCCCTAGACGCACGGGCCACATGTCACATGGCTAAGAGGGACCGTTGTTTTCAGTGTGCAGGAATTCGACCACATCTTAAAGTTCACTCACATGCATAGTGGCCAGAGTTTGGAATCATTTGTAGTTAGAAAATCATTTAAAAACATTTTCTTGTAGCTTTAAGATAAGAGGAAAAATAAAATGCGCAGAATGACAGTATGTCCATCCAAAATTAGGGAAAATGCCCAGACTGTAATGCAGACATGATGTCTGGCGATTGAAGTGATCCTCAGTTGAACGTGAGTCCGTTCAATAAATAGGCCTTGGTAAGAATCACCATGATTTGTTTTGACAAAGTAAGCATTCTCATTATTATTAATTTATCAATTTCAAGCAAATTCCAGCATGTATATTGATACTTCACTTCCAGGGCATCTGATCCATCTCTGATGGAACTCGTGTGATACTTTGTTAAATGTTATAAAAACCGTAGGGGTTAATTTATGAAGTTACAGTCTTCTTTATTATTATTTCTCAACTCTATGCCGGTAATACCATAGAGCTAACTAAGACATATTAGGAATGTACTTACCCCGAGTAGGAATAAGTCATAGTCTCCGGATTAGAGCTGTACTCACAGGTGGAAATTGAGCTGAACATTTATACAATTTCAGATAATTGTGCTACTGATCACCTTTGTATGTAACCTGTTAAATTTTGCCTTTCTCTAAACAGGGATTTAAAGTAGGATCTCTTTTTTTCCCTGGTGGAAATGCCACGTACGGTGGAGAGGAAGTGGAAGTGAAAAAAGTAGAAAATCAAGGTCATAATTATGGCAATGAGACAGAGTGGAAGGAAAATGTAGAGACGGTGATGGGTTGGTTCACTGAGCAGGACCTTGATTTTGTGGCTCTGTATTTTGGAGAACCAGATGGTGTCGGACACAAGTATGGACCAGAGACTCAAGAACGCAAGGACATGGTCAGTCAAGTGGACCGTATGGTTGGATATATACGGAGCAGAGTGGTACATTATGGCCTGGAGTCAAGACTCAACATAATCATCACAGCCGATCATGGAATGGCCACCGTGGTAAAAGGCACTGAAGAGATTCTTCTCAGAGATGTGGCAAACTTCAAGTTCACCGACCTTCAATTCCAATTGTTGGATTATGGCCCAACAGGACTTCTGGTTCCCAAGGAAGGGAAACTAGAGGAAGTGTACCAAGCTCTGAAGAATAGCCATCCAAAGCTGCATGTCTATAAGAAGGAAGACGTTCCATCCAGGTTGCACTACTCAAAACATGAAAGGATCACCCCCTTATTTCTGTATGGGGACCCTGGATTTGTCATCCATGGGGTATGTACCATTTCACCTCAGAATAAGCTTTTATTCTGTCTCACTTTGAGACAAGATAAAACCAATCTTTGTGTTCCTAACGGAATGTCTAGTTTTACAAATGTTATACTAAGCAGAATAGTTTGAACAACACTTGTTGTTACAGTATTATAGATAATGTAATACAATGGGCTTAGTATTGAAACAGAGAATTCTAGAAAATGGAAAACAGAATTGTAAAATTCAGGATAAAATAGCTGGCCGATGATTATAATTGAGCTGGGGAATTTTTCCAGATTAGCTATGTTAGCCTAAATTTTGCAATTTAATTTTAGTTCACTAAAATTAGCTGTTTAGTAAATAAACCCCTTTGTTTCTGTAGTAGATTTATATATATATAATAGTTTCTGTGTTTCCTGAGTCTTATGAAAATATTTCTGCACCTAAGCTCACTTCGGACTATTGATCATTATGAAAAAATGAAAAAATATTTGAAAACACTTTGCCATAAATTATATAGACCTTTACTGAGAGTTATTCAGATCTAAGTTTCGCTGAAATGTGGATCATTGGGCAAATTAAGTTGTCCATGAGTAGAACTTCTCAGCAAATCCTCCATCTCCATGCAGCCCCCACTCAATCGAGTCTCCATTCATTTAAACAAACACTACAGAGCCTTCTTACCTGGGATCCACTGGGCACCACCCCTTCCCTTTTGGTTGTAAGAGCTGGAAGCTCCAAGCAGAAGCTGTAGTGGTTATGGTTCTTGGTGTCTACATTTAAATGGGAATTTAAACAGACGCAGATTTGCTCACTAGTCTCTGAAAATACCAGTATTCAATGCTGCCGGAGACCTGAGACACAAATTGTCCCAGACATGCACCCTGATGTGTACATTTCTAGAAATTCAGTCTCGGGACTATACTGTGACTGTCTCTAAAGAACTTGATTAAAGTAGGACTGAATAATATATATATATATATCTATATTGTTAAAATTAAAATAAATAACAAAATAGGTTTGCTGCCCCGTCCCAGATCTGAATCTTTACGCATGCATGTCTTGTTACTTTGCAGACATTTCCCACCAACGGATAGTTGATAAAGATGGGTGGTGCCATCTTCACATGCCCAGCTAATCAGTGGAGGCTCATGGTGAGGCAGCCCGTGGCAACATTTGTGGCATGTATGTCAAACAGTAAATGTGATTTTATTTGCATTGTGGGATCTCATTTCCCTGTGCATATATCACTGTGGCCTCTAAAAATGTCAATTAGCTCTAAAATTCATTGTGCACATAAATAACACACAAATAGAGAGTAATAGCACTCCAAAACAGGTTAGAAATTCATTTTCTACAACAATATTATTTGGGGGTTTCTTCACAAAGGCCTCGATTTTATATTTTGGGATAAACTTTTCAAATGACTTCCTATTTTTGGAAATGTTTTTTAAAAGATTAAATCTGTGTAAAGGTTTATCCAAAAACATGAAATCATTTGAAAAACGTATCCAAAAATATAAAATCGAGGCCTGATTTCTGAGTAAAGCCCTGTATTACTAATCATTCGGTTATTCACTGTAGTGTTCATTTTTGTAATTTTAAAATTATGGACCAAAATAGCCTAGTTAGAAAAACCTCCAAGATGGCTATGCTTCCAATTCTGCTATTTGGGTGATAATTCTACACCCAGTGGATGGAATTTGATAACGAGGTATCTTCGATTGTCTTTCAGATGGCCAAATTTCAGTTTAATAAAGGAGAACATGGCTTTGATAATGAAGCGATGGACATGAAAACCATCTTTCGTGCCGTGGGACCGTCCTTTAAGAAGGGGCTGCTGGTGAAGTCCTTTGAGAGTGTCCACATTTACGCCCTGATGTGTGAGCTGCTGGGAATCGTACCTGAGCCTCACGATGGATCACTAAGTGTGACCCAGGATATGCTACTGTCAACCAATATTGATGATGATGATGATGCAGGTATGATGTCATAGGTAATCGAGACCCATAGTTGTCCCAGAGATGACTGATTATCGCGCTCCTAGGTCAGAATTACGTTTTCTGGGATGTGAGGAGGCATTTTGCTCCACTCGCTCTCCATCTGACATGTCGATTCCAGTGGGCATGATTCAGTGTCCCTTGTAAAAATAATGTCAATTCATTTGATGTGTACTTATTGTTTCATTGTCAAAATATGGTTAACTAACGTGATATGTGTAGTGGATGCATTGAATGGTTAGCCAATAGAGGTAGTGCCATTAATTACTGCATGGTAAACACCAAAATAACTTTAGTTTACTTAAGTGGTTTTGGTGTATAGATCATACTCCTGCAGTCTCAATGCTCAAATAACTGCCATTTATGATTTATATCACTGTGTTTATGTAGCCGTAGACACACCTCCTGGCATGTGACCTACACAGCCTTCCTAAACACGTCCTGTAAAGAGAGATCTAATTATTAAATCTAATTTATTTTTATTGCACAAAACAGGTACAAGTGAAATCTAATCCCTCGGTGGAGGACTGTAAGAAGGGGGGTAGCTTTCCTTACGTAATCTTGATAAAACCACGTGTGTCAAATATATAAATGATAAAAGAATAGAATATAGTGTAGATGGTAATAAAACTTGAATTGTTGCAGCCAATCTTGCAGCGCTCCACTAAGGATATAGGTTTCACTTATACCAAGTGTTGTTTTGTGTTTATTAATGTGTGTGGAGAGGAGGGTATTCCACACAAGTGTATATTGTTCACCTTAAGCACTTTTGTAGTAACACACTTCCTCCTAAAGGAGGTTTATTTGTTTGTTTTAGTTTATTGCACAGTCTGTTTAATAATTAAGATTTCATATCCTCCTCATTTAATAATATGCTAAAGCCTGCATCCTGTGTGTGATTACAGTTCAATTAACAGAGCCGGAGAATATAACTTCTAAAATAAACACACTGTTCTGTATAACTCTGCATCATAAGAGCTATAATCCGCACTGAGCCAGAGAAGCTCTCAATGAGACAGCCACTAGAGGCTGGATTAACCCTATTATAAACAGAGCAGTTTCTCTGAAACTGCTATGTTTATAGAAAAAAGGGTTAACCCTAGCTGGACCTGGCACCCAGACCACTTCATTGAGCTGAAGTGGTCTGGGTGCCTGTAGTGGTCCTTTAATGAAGTTGTTCAGGTGAGAACTATAGCTCCCTGCAGCCTTTCTCATGTAAACACTGTATTTTCTAAGAAAATACAGTATTTACATTGAAAGCTAGGAACACCTCCAGTTGCAGTCACTCAGAGTGAACCAGAGGGACTTCTGAGTAGATGGAGGCATAATATGCCTCCATCCACTCAGATCTGCTGTGCACGAACATCCTGTGATTCAGTATCTCCTCGGACTGCATGAAGACACTGAACTTTCCTCATAGAGATACATTGATTAATCTCTATGAGGAGATGCTGATTGGCCAGGGCTGTGTTTGAATCATGCTGGCTCTGTCCCCAGTGGTGTATCCTGGTTTTGTGCTGCCCTAGGCAGGACAAAACTCATGCGCCCCCACCCAACCCTTCCCACCGCCCCGCCTTCTAAATACACACACACTCACTAACAGACACACACACACTCACTCTAACAGACACACACACACTCTGACACACACACACACTAACAGACACACACACAGTCAGACACACACATACACAGTCAGACACACACACACTAACAGACACAAACTGTCAGACACACACACACTAACAGACACACACACACTAACAGACACACAGTCAGACACACACACTGTCAGACACACACACACTAACAAGGCACTAGCACACACACACACACACACAGTCAGACACACACACACATACACACTAACAGACACAAACTGTCAGACACACACACACACACTAACAGACACAAACTGTCAGACACACACTAGCAGACACACTCACACAGTCAGACACACACACACTAACAAACACACACATTAACACACACACACACACTCACAGTAACACATTTTTTTTTTTTTTTAATTTACCCCCCCCTTACCTTTGGGAATGCTGGGGGGGGGGTTCTCTATCTCCCTGGTGGTCCAGTGGCTGCGGGCGGCGCTGGGCTGTGTGGGCGGCTGCTGAGGGAGCTCTTCCTCTGAGCTATCCGCTCAGCTCCCTCGCGCGCCGCAGAGTGAGGCTGGGAGCCGGAATATGACGTCATCAACCCGGCTCCCGGCCTCACTCTGCGGCGCGCGAGGGAGCTGAGCAGACAGCTCAGAGGAAGAGCTCCCTCGCCAGCCGCCCGCCGCCCATCAGCCAGTGTCGCCCGCTCGGCATGTCTGTTAGTCGCAAGGCTAACAAGGCATTTGCCCTGGGCATTTGGGGGCAGCGTTTTTTGCCGCCCCCTGAAAAATGCCGCCCAAGGCAAATGCCTTGTTTGCCTCGCGGCTAAAACGCCCCTGTCTGTCCCTGATCTGCCTCTTTGTCAGTCTCAGCCAATCCTATGGGGAAGCACTGTGATTGGATCAGGCTACCACATGTCAGCAGACTGCTTGTTTTTCCTGAGTCTAACATGCAGATTTACAGCTTCTGGCTTGAATACAGTAAGATCTTTACTGTATTTATAGAGGCATGAGGGGCCCTGGGGGGCTAGATTGTCATGTTAACACTATAGGGTCAGGAATACATGTAGTTGCATTGGTGACTATAGTGTCCCTTTAAAAACAAAATATTACAAAATTCAATTTTTTTTCAGAATATTCAATAATTTTAAAAGTTTATCCAATAATATTAAATGACTTGAAAAGCTTTATCTAACAATATTAAATTGAGGTCTAAGTAAGGGACAGTCTCCACCACGGCAGCTGTAATAAACATTGATCCAAAGAAACTCTGCACAATAGCAGATGTGGCCAAAACTAACCAAGGGAAGCTTTCAACCAAGGGATCTGTGGTCCACAATGAGCCATGGATGCTCTGCACTACAAGTGTTTAAATGTCAGGAGGCAAATCCATGAGTGCCTAAGTTGCTGAGTACAAAGACAGAAGATGGTCCGGGCACTCAAGTTTCAAAGAATAGGCAGATTTATTGGGAGAGTGCACAGCAACATTTTGACCCCAAAGTGTCTTAACCAAGCTCGAGGAAGTGCCTGGACCATCTTCTGTCTTTGAAGTCTCGTTTAAGGTTTGGCCTACTTTGGGTCCAGCTGGATCCTGGTTATTAAGGGAGTGTGGTGTCCCTCTGTTTCATTTACTAAAGTTACTGCGTACCGTAGACAAAATGCCATTTGGCCTAATAAATCCAGAATGTTACAAGATTGCACAACAAGGATAGCCAACAAACCGTTCTTCAACTGTTGAAGAACTAAAAGTCCCATAATGCTTTGCAAGCCTGTAGACCCAGACTATAGTATAGTATTGAAAGTAAGGATCTCGAGTTTGGTTATATTACTTCCAGCAAATTATCAAATTAATTATCCAGAAAATCACAAAAGCTGACACCTAGATTTTCACTGTTTAGGCTCCTCTGAAGGCAGTCTTTCCGATTCACTCTTCAATGCAACTATCGGCCTGGCAGCGGTGCTAGGCTTTCTCCTACTGGTCTTCATCATTGTCACCATCAGTACATCGGTCAAGAGGCACAAACGCAGGAAAAGGTGAGGGTTTTGTGTTTTGAAAATGAATTGAAATTAATTGAATACCCATAAATTACATCAATTTGTATTCACCAAAAAAACTCGAATTGAATTTAAAAATTCAAGCCAAAGTAGTTGAACTTAGAGAATTAGTTAAATTATTTTGGTCTAACATTTTCAGTTTGCTTTAAATTGCCAGCAATTCCCGCGTTGATGAATATTACTGATCGCATTCCTAGTTATAATATACCTTTCAGCATTTTATTTATTTATTTTATTAATATTTTTTGCAGAGCTGCAAAGTCTACAGAATTGGATATGAAAGGAGATAAGTTTTGAAATCCTCAACAAAATTCAGTTTTTTTGTGTTATGATGGAAACTACTACCTACTGTTGACTTTTGGCCAATGCTACATTCTAAAGGCTTTGATACGACTTTTCTTATGAAAACAGAAAGGCATGAACTGCAGGGACTGAACTATAGAAGGAACTGATGGGGCCAACCATTCGCTGTGATGGTCCATATCACAGGATCGTGTGTCCAATTAAAGGGAACTGGCAGAGTATTCTAAAACTAAATTATGGTTTAATTACTTTGTGGAAAATCTCTAAGAAGTAACATGACGGATCTCATGCTCCGTAAAGAGCTGATATAGAATAAAGTATGTATATATTGAAAAACAAATTGTCTTTAATTGTACCTTTCAAGCCCAAACAATATGCTCTAATATCGGTTATGTAAGTCTGGATCGGAATGTCAGTGTTCTAAGTTAGAAATTTGGGTATCTTCCAAAAACCAATGCATGTGTCCAGGAAGGACCAAGTCAGGCATTCCATGTTATGTTGGGACTCCGAACAGTTGCAGATTCAGTGGAGCAGAACTGATTTGTGATATGCCTTCTCATTGTTACCTTCCTCAGGGGTTGGAATCAATTGAGTAAATGAATGAAAATATCACATAAACCAATTCAGTTGTGGAAAATGAATTTAAAGACGCCAACGCAGTTTTACTGAAGTGGCTTTGACCCATACCTAGTAAATCAGTAGCTTATTTAATCCAAAAAACATATAGAGAGGGATCTGTGTAACAAAAGACTTTTAAATATAAGACTGTACAACTTCATCCGACAAAAAGACATTTCCAGGGGTGGCGGAGTTAAGCTACTGGGCAAACGGTTGCATGGCCGCAGAGCTCCTGATGTTACCTTAATAAGCGACCACTCTCTACGCTCGGACATGAGCCACTTCCACCTTACTAGGGCCCCATGGGTCGGAAAACGAAAAAACAGAAGGCAGATAAACCAATCACGCCACAACGGCACACAATTAGCACTCTTCCACTTTAACCAGGTAGAGAGCATTACCAATACAGTAAAGATAAAAAAACTCTACAGTTATACAACATTAACTTTAAACTGGCAGGAAAAAAAAAATAATAAAAACCACATATCCGGATACTGATACAGAATTTTAGTACGCTAGAAAAATAAATGATGACAGAGCCGCGTCAAGGAAAACCCTCGTAGTATCTGCATTAAAAATAAGTGAATTAGATATAGCTGACCGCAAATTGTTTATATTGTGTCAGCGTTTTATTATTTTAAATAAAAAGCTGTATTATAAATCGTAAAAGGACCAACACTTTGCACCGTACCTCCAGCCTTGTAGCAAAGCCAGTTTATCGTACACTCTGCTGATTTATATTTTAAGAGTCTTTTGAGCACGGTTTTTAATTTCCTGGCTATTTAATGTACAGTTTTAAGGCAAATGTCGCCATAAATCACCCAGAGAGAAAGTGGTGGAATAAATTGGTTGAATTACAGGATATGTATCACGAGAAAACGAACGGCTTTATATTATCTATCATGTTTATAGTAATATATCAAATTGAAATTACTGATTTGGACTTTTTTTATTATGATCATTTTAATAGACTGATGTCAACTCAAAATAACGGTTTAAAAAAAGTACTTAAAAATATACTGAGATATAAACTTATGTCTTCTTCACTGGAAAGAAACGCCCAGGGGCCTACTCTCTCGATTTACATTTTAGGAATCTGATTGGGTGGGGGTCACAAATGTATTGGGCTATTACCTAAATACTGTATAAAATTGAGAATGTTCATTTTTGAGTCCATCAATTTAGGCTCCCAGCCAGTAACGGACGATTTTTTTCAGGCCCAACCTATTGCAAAAGGTGGATACCCATCTGTCGTTCAACTCCGACAATGCTTTGCCAGCTGGGGAGCTACCATTTTTGCCCATCCTTCCAGACCTGTAGCACTGAGCAGTGTTTGTGTGTTTGAATGTAAGCATGTTTGTGTATAGAGAATGTGTGAGTTAATGTAGGGGTGTGTTTGTATGTAGTGTTGGCATTTGTGTGTTGTGGTGTGTGTGTGTTTTTTTAATGCAGTGTGTGATAAAATATAATGGTGGTGTTTGTATGTAGTGTTGACATTTGAACGCAGGGGTGTATTTGTGTGTAATGTTGGCGAAATACTGAGATGTATGCACATATACAAACACTGACATATATGCAGATACATAGATAGACATATTTACTCTGACAGATACAAAGACTCCTAGGCACACACACTGACACACATGCAGATACGAAGATACACACTGATACACTAACTTAACATATACAGATACACAAGCACACAAATGCAGATACATAAACACACAGACACAGAGACACACAGATACAAACACTGACACATACAGATACACAGGCACACTGAAACACATAGAATACACAAACAAAATAAAGAAACGCAGACACATATTGATACATAGACACATAGCCACACACAGATACGCAGACACACACTGACACCTATGCAGCTACACAGATACAAACACTACCACCCATACAGATACACAGATACTACCATACATACAGATACACAGATACTACCACACATACAGATACACAGATACTAAAACACATACAGATACACAGATATTAACACACATACAGATACATAGATACTACCACACATACAGATACACAGATACTAACACACATACAGATACACAGATACTAAAACACATACAGATACACAGATACTAAAACACATACAGATACTAAAACACATACAGATACACAGATACTACCACACATACAGATACTACCAGACATAGAGATACACAGGTATTAACACACATACACATGCACAGACATATAGATGGAAACATTGACACATACAGATACAGAGATACAAACACACACAGATACAAAGGCACACAGGTACACACATACACAGACTGACACACAGGTACACACATACACATACACAGACTGACACACAGTGACACACATGCAGGTCAAAATATACACATTTTTAGCCATCCTTCTGTTTCCTACATTTTGGGTACAGGAACGTGGCTTTTGCTGGCTGAGGCTGTTGGGAGTTAGGTGCTGGCTCTCCAAATCCGTGGCCCTCCTCCTGTGCGGCTTGGTGTTAGCTAGGAAGAAGTGACCGGCTCTCATTTCCTCCCAGTGCTGCCAGTACATTATTTCAGGGGCCAATCGCGGTGTTAGAGGGCCGCAGTGCACGACTGGCCCTCTGAAGGCAAATGTTCAACGGGTGGCCCTAAGTGCATGGACCACCCAATAGGCCCCCTGAGGATGTGGGCCTGGCTACTCCAGACAGGAATTTACCCATTCTACCTTTAATTCATTACACAGATCTCTGATTAAAATATTCAAAAACAGCCATTCAAATAATAATAAAAATATAAAAAATATACCCACTTTTAAAATTCATTTTATTGTGCAAATCCCAATTAGTGATGTCGCGAACACAAAATTTTCGGTTCGCGAACGGCGAACGCAAACTTCCGCAAATGTTTGCGAACCGGGCGAACCGCCATAGACTTCAATGGGCAGGCGAATTTTAAAACACACAGGGACTCTTTCTGGCCACAATAGTGATGGAAAAGTTGTTTCAAGGGGACTAACACCTGGACTGTGGCATGCCGGAGGGGGATCCATGGCAAAACTCCCATGGAAAATTACACAGTTGATGCAGAGTCTGGTTTTAATCCATAAAGGGCAGAAATCACCTAACATTCCTAAATCACAATGAATATGGATTGACACCTGACATATGACATATTGACACCTTGACATATGGATTGACATTGATGCACACGGACAAAGAGCAGAATAGGGACTGTTCCCCCTACATAGGGTCACTTGGCAGATATGGATTGACACCTATCCTAAGGATCACTGATACACACTGACAAAGAGCAGAATAGACCTGTTCCCCCTACATAGGGTCACTTGGCAGGTATGGATTGACACCTGTCTTCAGAGACCATGATACACACTGACACAGAGCAGAATAGAGACTGTTCCCCCTACATAGGGTCATTTGGCAGATATGGATTGACACCTGTCCTCAGAGATCCCTGATACACACTGACACAGAGCAGAATAGAGACTGTTCCCCTACATAGGGTCACTTGGCAGATATGGATTGACACCTGTCCTCAGAGACCATGATACACACTGACACAGAGCAGAATAGAGACTGTTCCCCCTACATAAGGTCACTTGGCAGATATGGATTGACACCTGTCCTCAGAGACCATGATACACACTGACACAGAGCAGAATAGAGACTGTTCCCCCTACATAGGGTCACTTGGCAGATATGGATTGACACCTGTCCTCAGAGACCATGATACACACTGACACAGAGCAGAATAGAGACTGTTCCCCCTACATAGGGTCACTTGGCAGATATGGATTGACACCTGTCCTAAGGATCCCTGATACACACTGACACAGAGCAGAATAGGGACTGTTCCTCCTACATAGGGTCACTTGGCAGATATGGATTGACACCTGTCCTCAGAGCCCTGATACACACTGACACAGAGCAGAATAGGGACTGTTACCCCTACATAGGGTCACTTGGCAGATATGGCGTGGTCGTGGGAGGAGGAGGATGACTTTCACCTCTTCCCTGTTAGATTCCCGTTGTGCTGTGACATCACCCTTATACGCTGTGTAAAGCATACTTTTTAATTTATTTTGCAAATGCTGCATCCTTTCCGACTTGTAATTCGGTCACATTTCCGCCACTGTCTGCTTATACCGGGGGTCTAGTAGTGTGGACACCCAGCACAGGTCGTTCTCCTTCAGCCTTTTTATACGAGGGTCCCTCAACAGGCACCACAGCATGAAAGACCCCATTTGCACAAGGTTGGATGCCGAGCTACTCATTTCCCGTTCCTCCTCCTCACACAGAGCAGAATAGGGACTGTTCCCCCTACACTTGGCAGATATGGATTGACACCTGTCCTAAGGGCCCCTGATACACACTGACACAGAGCAGAATAGGGACTGTTCCTCCTACATAGGGTCACTTGGCAGATATGGATTGACACCTGTCCTAAGGATCCCTGATACACACTGACACAGGGCAGAATAGGGACTGTTCCTCCTACATAGGGTCACTTGGTAGATATGGATTGACACCTGTCCTCAGAGACCATGATACACACTGACACAGAGCAGAATAAAGACTGTTCTCCTACATAGGGTCACTTGGCAGATATGGATTGACACCTGTCCTCAGAGACCATGATACACACTGACACAGAGCA